GGGGAATGCACTTGGGCTCCTCTGTACTGCTAATTGTCAGGGTCACATCTTCAAACTAAGTAACAAGATTTAAAATAAAGGCATTTATTAATAACCAGGATATTCTGTAAGAACAGAACTCGGAGCAGAGTTGGCCATACGACCCCTTAAGTCTGCTGGGTTATTCTGTTAAAACCACGACTAATCTTCTGTATTGACTACACTTTACCTATTGATCCCCAGATCTGTGAGTTCCTTAATTTCAAAAAATTCATTTACCTGTGTCTGGAAAATACTTGATTTGAAGTTTCACAGCCCTCTTATTGAAGATCATTTTCATCTTCAACCTGAAATTAATTTTTCTGCCCTAATACCCCAAACATTCCATTACCCTTTTTGAAGTGAAGTTTGCAGTGTGGGGAAAGTGGCAGCTAAGTTATGCACAAGTTTTCCACAAACAACACTAAATGATTGGATAATTTGATTGTTAGTAATGTTGATTGAGGGATCATTTCTGATCCAGTGTAGTGCAGAGAATGCTGCATTGGCAAAAAAATGTCAACTTTCAGGTGATAAACTGAGGTCCTGTCCAAGTGGATGTAAAAACAAAAGTCCTGTGGCACTATTCAGGCAGTTCTCCTGGTATCCTGGCATTATACTCTAATTAACTAGGGAGGTATTAAATAGAATGGAAACTGAAATAAATGTGGATGTTGGAAATCAAAAACAAAAACAGAAATTGCTGGAAAAGCTTAACAGTTCTGGCAGCATCTGTGGAGAGAGATCAGTTAACATTTTAGGTCCAGTAACCCTTCCTCAGAACTGATGTTGGCTAGTAAGAAGAGAGATAACAAGGTGTAGAGCTGGATGAACACAGCAGGCCGAGGAGCAGGAAGGCTGACGTTTCGGACCTAGACCCTTCTTCAGAAATGGGGGAGGGGAAGGGGGTTCTGAAATAAATAGGGAGAGAGGGGGAGGTGGCTAGAAGGTGGAAAGAGGAGAAGATAATTGGAGAGGAGACAGACAGGTCAAAGAGGTGGGGATGGAGCCAGTAAAGGTGAGTATATGTGGGGAGGTAGGGAGGAGATAGGTCAGTCCAGGGAGGACGGACAGGTCAAGGCGGCGGGATGAGGTTAATAGGTAGGAGATGGGGGTGGGGCTTGAGGTGGGAGGAGGGGATAGGTGGGAGGAAGGACAGGTGAGGGAGGCGGGGACGAGCTGGGCTGATTTTGGGATGTGGTAGGGGGAGGGGAGATTTTGAAGCTTGTGAAGTCCACATTGATACCATTGGGCTGCAGGGTTCCCAAGCGGAATATGAGTTGCTGTTCCTGCAACCTTCGGGTAGCATCGTTGTGGCACTGCAGGAGGCCCAGGATGGACATGTCATCTGAGGAATGGGAGAGGGAGTTGAAATGGTTTGTGAACGTGAGGTGCAGTTGTTTAGTGCGACCCGAGCGTAGGTGTTCTGCAAAGCAGTCCCCAAGCCTCCGCTTGGTTTCCCCGATGGAGAGGAGGCCACAATGGGAACAGCGGATGCAGTATACCACATTAGCAGATGTGCAGGTGAACATCTGCTTGATGTGGAAAGTCTTCTTGGGGCCTGGGATGGGGGTGAGGGGGGAGGTGTAGGGGCAGGTGTAGCACTTCCTGCGGTTGCAGGGAAAAGTGCCGGGTGTGGTGGGGCTAGAGGGGAGTGTGGAGCGGACAAGGGAGTCACGGAGAGAGTGGTCCCTCCTGAAAGCAGATAAGGGGGGGAGGGAAAAATGTCTTTGTTGGTGGGGTCGGATTGCAGATGGCGGAAGTGTCGGAGGATGATGCATTGGATCTGGAGGTTGGTGGGGTGATTCGTGAGGACGAGGGGGATTCTGTTTTAGTTGTTATTGCGGGGAGGGGGTGTGAGGGATGAGTTGCGGGAAATGTGGGAGACACGGTCAAGGGCGTTCTCGACCACTGAGGGGGGGAAGTTGCGGTCTTTGAAAAACGAGGACATCTGAGATGTACAGGAGTGGAATGCCTCATCCTGGGAGCAGATGCGGCGGAGGCGAAGGAATTGGGAATAGGGGATAGGGGATGGCATTTTTGCAGGAAGGTGGGTGGGAGGAGGAGTATTCTAGGTAGCTGTGGGAGTCGGTGGGCTTGAAATGGATATCGGTTTCTAGGTGGTTGCCAGAGGTGGAGACAGAGAGGTCCAGGAAGGAGAGAGAGGTATTAGAGATGGTCCAGGTGAACTTAAGGTTGGGGTGGAAGGTGTTGGTGAAGTGGATGAACTGTTCGAGCTCCTCGTGGGAGCACGAGGCGGCGCCAATACAGTCATCAATGTAACGGAGGAAGAGGTGGGGTTTTGGGCCAGTGTAGGTACGGAAGAGGGAAGTTGGTTTTTATGCAGAAGACAGGGGAAGGGAGGTAAGGAGTAGATGATAGGTGGATATAAAGCCCAAAGAGAGAGAGAGAGAACAGTTGGACATGAAGGAGTGGATAATGGTTAGCCTAGGAGGGTAAGGACTTGGGGGAAGGTGCTTCAAACCCTAATATTATTGAACTCGATATTGAGTCCAGAAGGCTGTAGAGTTCACAAGTGGAAAATGAGGTGCTGTTCTTCTAGTTTGCACTGAGCTTTGCTGGACCACTGCAGCAATCCTGAGACAGAGATTTTAGCCAGGGAGCAAGATGGTTTATGTTGAAGTGGCAAGCAACTGGAAGGTCAGAGTCTTTTTTTGCAGACAGAATGTAGGTGTTATGCAAAGTGGTCACCCAGTCTACGCTTCATTTCCCCAATGTCGAGGAGACTACATTGTGAGCAATAAATGCAGTAGCCTAGATTGATCAGATAAGCCAATGGGCCGAGGAGTGGCTGATGGTGTTTAATTTAGATAAATGTGAGATGCTGTATTTTGGAAAGGCAAATCAGGACAGGACTTACACACTTAATGGTAAGGTCCTGGGGAGTGTTGCTGAATAAAGAGATCTTGGGGTGCAGGTTCATAGTTCCTTGAAAGTGGAGTCATAGGTAGATAGGATATTGAAGAAGGCGTTTGGTATGCTTGTCTTTATTGGTCTGCATTGAGTAGAGGAGTTGGGAGGTCATGTTGCAGCTGTATAGGACGTTGGTTAGGACGCTTCTGGAATGCTGCACGCTGTTCTGATTTCCCTGCTATAAAAGGTTCCGAAAGGATTTACAAGGGTGTTGCCATGGTTGGAGGGTTTGAGCTATAGGGAGAGGCCGAATAAGCTGGGGCTATTTTCTCTGAGGCTGAGGGGTGACCTTTACAGAGGCTTATAAAATCATGAGGTTCTTGGATAGGGTAAATAAACAAGAACTTTTCCAAGAGTGGGTGAGTCCAAAACTAGAGGGCATAGGTTTAAAGTGAGAGGGGCAAGATTTAAAAGGAATCTATGGCGCAACATTTTCACGCAGAGGGTGGTGCGTGTGTGGAATTGACCGCCAGACGAAGTGGCAGAGGCTGATACAATTATAACATTTAAAAGGCATCAGGATGGGTTAATGAATAGGAAGGATTTAGAGGGATATGGGTGAAATGCTGGCAAATGGCACTAGATTTATTTAAGCTATCTGGTCGGCGTGGACAAGTTGGACCGAAGGGTCTGTTTCTGTGCTGTACATCTTTATGACTAAGTGCAGGTAAAGCACTGCTTCACCTGGAAGTTGTTTGGGCCCTTGGATACTGAGGAGGGAGAACATAAACGGGCAGATATTACACCTTCTGTGGTTGCAGGGGAAGGCGCCATGGGCCTTTAGGAGGGCAGTGTTGGGAGTGAAGGAGGAGTGGACCAGAGTATCCCGGAGGGAAGGGTCCCTCTGGAAGGTTGACAAAGGAGGGGGAAGGGTATATGTGTCTGGGTGGTAGCATCTTGCCTGAGGTGGTAGAAATGGCCACTGATGATCCTATGGATGTGGATGCTGGTTCACCCTGTGGACACCCTGGTCCACTGCTTCTCCACTCCCAACATCCTCTCACAGCCCCACAGCACCTTTCCATACCTTTGCAGAAGGTGTAAGAACTGCCCATTTACTTCCTCCCTCATTATCCAAGGACCCAGCTACACCTTCAAGGTGAAGCAGCACTCCATCTAGTCTACTGTATTCGCTGCTCACAATGTGGTATCCTCTACACGGGAGATGAAGTTCAGACTGGGCGACCATTTTGCAGAGCACCTACATTCTGTCTGCACAAATTATCCTAAAATTCCAGTTGCCTGCCAATTCAGCACACCACCTTGTTTTCTTGCAACATCTATGTCTCGGGCTTGCCCAGCCTCCAGCAAAGCTCGGTGCAAGATGGAATAACAACACCTCGTTTTCCGCTTGGGAGCTCTGCAATCTTCTGGACTCAATTATCAAATTCAATAATTTTAAGATTGAGCACCTTCTCCCATTTCCTTATGCCAACCCCATACACATCAGGCCCTGTCATCACATGGACTGCTACCACAAACAACCTATTGTCAGCCACTACCAGTTCCCATTAGTAGCTGCTCGTCCTCCCAGACTGACCTTTACCCATTCCTTTGTCTGCCCAACTGTTTTTCTGTCTATTTGGGCTCCATCTCCACCTATTATTTACTCTTCTTCCCCCATCCCTTCCCTAGTATGTATACGAACTTTCTCCAAGCTACACTTAGTTCCGAAGAAGGATCACTGGACCCAAAATGTCACCCTGCTTTCTATCCATAGATGCTGCCAGACTTGGTGAGTTTTTCCAGCAATTTCTGATTTCCAGCATCCACAGTTCTTTGATTTTTTTTATTTTCCCCCATCAGTTGCTTAAGCTGTGGCTGTCAACCAATAAATCAGTAACATTATAAATGTGGTCCATTTGCCCTGTGCCTCCTGCAAAAAAGAGAAAGTACATGGAGAAGGAAGATTGAGGAGCAGCAGGTCCTGGCAATCCAGTGAAAAAGTTGCCTTTCTTCTCTCACCTTAAAAACACCCCCTTGTCTTGAAATCCCCCACCATAGGGGAAAAGACACCTGCCATTCACCTTACCTATACCCTTCATGATTTTACAAACCTTTATAAGGTCGCCCCTCAACCTCCTACGCTCCAGTGAGAAAAGCCCCAGCCCCTCCCTATCACTCAAATCTTTTATTCTCGGCAACATCCTGGTAAATGTTTTCTGAACACACTCCAGCTTGATAATATCCTTCCTATAGAAGGGTGACCAGAACTGGACACATTACTCCAGAAGAGGCCTCATCAACGTCCTGTACAACCTTAACATGACATCCCGACTCCCATACTCGAAGGTCTGAGCGATGAAGTTGGTTCATAATTGTTTATCTATAGTTGGAATCTAATTGTAAAAAAAAATAGTAATTCCTAAATACAGAAACCTGGTCTGTGCATACTGTCAAGTAATTTGGGGAATTTTATGTAATTCTATAAAATCTTTAATTTTTATGACAACTTTAACAAAGCTTGATTTCCAGTGAACTGCCCCAACGAGGCATAATGCTACTGTATATCAAAACAATGGTCTTTTTATTTACAAATGCAGTCTACAGGCCATGCAACTTGCATTTTAAATTAACCTGTTTCTTGCTTCTCCCTTTGCAGAGCTGTAGTCTGTTTCTACAATCGTTGCGTCATTACGGGGATCTGCCCCCCCTCTCACTTGACAGCATCCAGGAACGAGTGCTGTACGTGTTAAAACTGTATGATAAAATTAATCCTGACAAGGTAAGGAAACAATGTCACTGACCTTTTATTGAATTTTCATAATAAGAATGATACCACTCTAAGAAAATGTAATGTCTTTGAAACGGAGTTGTCAACACTTCTTTATTTAATTTTTAAAAAAGAAAATAAGCAGTAAGGAGCTTAAAATATAAACTAGGTGAGGTGATGACTGAGTTGCAGGGACTGGAGCAGAAGCCAGCAGCAGGAGCATGAAAAATTAACATGTAGCCCTGAACAACAGGCCAGTGTCAGCAGCCTCCATGTAGCCACCTTTAGGTGCTTCATAATATACAGTTTTTGCTAACATGGTATGTCTTAAAGTTGGCTATAGGTGTCAATCATCTTGTCTCAGGGCAAAGAGGAACAATATATAAATACTATGGGAATATACTTATAATTTGTTACTTGTTTTTAAATCTCCACGGTAACCAGAAGTAATTTCAGCTTAGTTTTTATTGCTGCTCTAACCCATAGTTTTATAAATATTAAAACACAATGGCTTTTACAAATAGAGATATGCAAAACCTTCCTGGCATATCATCTTGTCAGTTTGACAATCCTTTTAGCCAATCTCAGCTTGTTTACAAATATTCCAATAAATCCTCAAGTTTTCTTAAAGACCAAGAATGCAGAAAGACCTGGATAACGTTCAGGCTTGGGCTGAGAGCTGGTAGGTAACGTTCTCAATGCAAAAGAGCAGGCAATGATCATGTTAAACTAGAGAGAATCTAGCCCTGTCCCCTTAACATTCATCCAGGCAAGAGGGAAATATTCCATTAAAGACCTGACTAATGGGACATACTTTGGAGGGGTAGTGGGGCAGTCTTGAGGTGAGTTAGTTGCTGCTGAATTATGAGCCTCCTGCCAGCTCCTTAGAAGCTACAGTGTTTATGTGGCTGATCTATTGAGTTTCTCATCCTTAGAATGAGTAACAAGCTTTACAAATTACTGAAGTATTTTAGAAGCTTCAGACATCTGTTGGTGTGTGTGCTGTGTGGTCAATCAGCGGGTGAGAATGAATTTAATCAGCACCCATCCACCATGTAGCAAAGGGGCAGTTGTAACATGCACACTCCCTGTCTTCTTTCCATTTTTGAATAAAGCTTTTCAGAGCCCCTTTATGAGGCAGGAAACCTCAGTTTTGCTTGGGGGTTACTGAAAGTACAAGGTTATCTGTTCTTTGTTTTCAAAGGATTAAATCTGTTGTTGGTTGTGCTGAATGTTTTGATTGCTTGTGGATTTTCTCTTTTGTATTTCTGAAACCCCCTATATTTACAATATTTCCTTTCTTCTCAAAGCTTCTATTAAGCTCTCATTTTATGAAAGATTTGGGTTTGGACAGTTTGGATCAAGTAGAAATCATTATGGCCATGGAAGATGAGTTTGGTAAGTGTGTGTGTGTGTGTGTGTGTGTGTGTGTGTGTGGTAGGTTGTAATGTGTTCAGTATATCTTGTTGTTTTAATCCAAACACCTCAGGGTTTTTGTCAATTAAACTGAACTTTTTGACTCCTTTGCCTGAAGATGCTTGAGTTGTACCCTGGTGTATATTCCATAGTCATAGCTGTCCTCTCTATTGCAATCAAGTAGCTAATTGTTCATTGTGAACCCAGACACATTCAGCCTATTCAACCCTACAGGCTTCGCAGACTGTCTAGTCCTATATATTACCTGTTTCAAAGATTGCATCATATTTAGCTTCATTTGCAGATCCTGGTTTGATGAAATAGTTCTAGCCTACATGCAATAAGATCTGGTTAACATTCAGGCTTGACCTGCGAGTACTAAGTAACATTTGTGCCACGTAAGTGTCAGCCAGGCTATGACTATCTCTAGCAAGAGAACCCTGAACCACTTCCCCCTTAACAAGAACAACATTATCAATGATTCTACCACCAGCTACATTTCTGGAGGAGGTGGGGTGGCAGATGCTTTTAATCAAAAACTCTCTGGACCTGCCACACAAGTAGATGCAATATTTTCTGTGACACATCCCTGACTCTCCAAAGCCACTTTTTTGCATGGAAGAGAAATCAAAAGTGTAAGGAGTATTCTCTACTTTCCTGAATGGCTGCAACTGCATTCTCGAACATCCACCACCTTCGCTCCCTGCATTAATAGTACATGTGGTTGCAGTGTATTTCATCTATAAGCTGCATTGTTGTAACCCTCCGTGGCTTATTTGAAACCACCTCTAAAACTTGCAACCACTAGTATCTAGAAGAACACTGGGTAGCAGTGCTTGACAGGTGCCTCACTGCAGGAAAGTTGTGGGATCTCTGTTAAAATGTTACCTCAATCAGAGGTGATTCAGGCTGGTGATAAATTATACCTTAAGGGAAAGTTGTTGAAGGGCTTTGACAGGATTGCGGTGTGCCCAATGTGGGAATGTGAAGTGTGTTAATCTGTACATTGGCCATGTTGTTTGTCTGTAGGAGTCATTGAGCTTCATTTTTCTCTTTGTAGGATTTGAGATTCCGGATGTAGATGCAGAAAAGTTGATGACACCTGATGAGATTATAACTTATATTGCAGATAAGAAGGATGTGTATGAATAACTTTTTTTCCCTGGAGACAAAAAATGGGTAAGAATTTGTCAGATAAGTTCTTAAAAGGGGAAGAGAAGTGTGCATTTTCTAACTTGAGCCTTATCGCAACCACATAGTCTCTGTCAGATAAAAGCAGAACTGATTGGGACCGTTCTCCCACAGACAAAACTCATGCACTAAAATTTGTTGAGTCTGGTGTCTGAAGAATGTTGCTTGCATTAATGTTTGACTGTTGGAAGGAATTGATACCCTGAAACTTCCTGGCTTCAACCAATACTCAGGATAGAGGTTGGAACATAGACATCCCAACCACGAGAAAGGAGCTTGATCTATGAATCGTTCAGCATATCACCACTGCAGTTGGGCCTTTATTTATGGTATGGACAGGTGTTGGGATGGCATAAATCGATCACCAACACACTTCATTCAGTTAGTCACTGATGATGAAATAAAAGGTTTTCCTTATCTCCCCCAGCAAGGAGATTAGTACATTCCGAGAGACTTGACTAGATCCCATTCCCTCTCCAAACCAAAGTCCCCAAACCTTTGCAGTCTAAAGAACTGGAGAGATTAGCTAATTCAGCATAACCTATAGTTTGAACCTAGCACTGAAGAAAGGCAACTTTACCCTAATAAGTACTGACATCACAGCTGATCAGTCATTTTGAGAAATGTTTTGGAAACATTAGAAAAACATAAATTCTAAAATCTGTTTTTGGCTTTGCAGGTACTTGCTGCTGGGAGCATACTCTGTGTGAGGGATCACAAGCATTTTTTGATGCATAAGTGCTGGTTTATGGTTTTTGTTGTCTGATTATGTTTGTTCAACCAATGATATTTCAAGTTCTAGAACACTGACTTCAGGAATTAATAAATTACTCTTGAACCTGGATGTGTGTATGTATGCTGTTCATTCACCCATCAACTCTGATACTGTACCTCTCCACAAATTCTAGACTTATGAGCATCAGTAGATCTTCTGGTTCCTAACAAGGAACAAGAATAGGCCACCCAACACTTCTGAGTCTGTTCCACCATTCAATGACAATGTGACTGATGCCTATCCTAACTCCATTTACCTGTTTTGGCTGATGAAAGTCTGATCTTGGATTTTAAGAAGTGTTAATGTAGCCAGCATCCATGTTTATTAATCAAGGTGTGATCTGTTATTTTTTGTGGAAGAAGGTTACATATTTTGATCACTGAATGAAAAAGTGTTTCTGAACTTCTTTCTGAAGTAGTTTGGCTCTTGTCACCCACCAACAGATGGATGTTTCTCTTTATCTGCATAATCACTTCCTTTCAAAATTATGTAACGACTTCAATCCAATCATCCTCAACCAGGGAATAGAAGTTGCTTGAGTTCCTTTATAGTGGTAATAGTTGCAGAGGTAGCAGTTAATGTCCTGGTCAGCCATAATCTAATTGAATGGTTAGAAGAGGCTTGAGGAACTGAATTGACTTGGTTTTTCCTGTTCATTTGTCATCCCTGGTCTCTCTTAAACCAGCTCATAGAGGCAAGATGAAACTTTAGTTTAGCTTCTTAATTTTCTGTCTGTTTGACATTTTTCTGAAATAATTTTAAATTTGCTTTCACTCTGCTGTACTGTTAAATTCCTGTTATAAAGTGAATATTAATCGTTGGGCTGTTTCAGTTTGTTTTGCTAATTGGATGCTTAACCATCCAGTGATAGAGCTATGCAACACATTGGGACTATTTAAACTACATTAAAAGGTGCTATATAAATGCAAAGTGCTCCACAACAACATTAATCAAACAAAAATTGCCACTGAATCATAGAAGGAAGCAATACCATAGATTTAATTTTATAGGATGTGTAATACAGGCGTTCAAACCAACCAGTCCATGTTGGTATTTGTGCTCTGTTCAAGTTTCCACCCATGTTTTTTCTCATCTACATCTATCACCATAATCCTGTATTCCATTCTCCTTCATATGCTTGTTTTATTTTCCCCATAAATGCTGATTGCTTTAACCACTCTCCATGGTAATAAGTTCTACATTCTTACAGCTCACGGTAAAGTTCTTTGAGTTCCTTTTGGATCCTGTGATGACAGCCCTTTTGATGGTTTCTGGTCATGCCCTTTCTGTCTCTCTACATAATCTCTAGCCAACCTATTAGATCAGCCATCGACCTTTTCTCAAGACAGGGACCAGGCTGTCAATCCTTTCGTGATGCACAACCCCCCGTGTTCTGGCATAATCCTTGTAAATCTCTGCAAAATCCTAGTGCCTGGACATCTTTTTTTATAATGGTTTGAAGATGTTCAGGTTAGGTGATTGGCATTGTAAATTGCTCATAGTTTCCAGGTATGTGCCGGTTAGGTGGATTAGCCATGGGAAATGTAGGATTACAGGGTTGTGGTAGGTTTTGGGTGGGATGCTCTTCAGAGGGTCAGTGTAGACTCGATGGGCAGTATCTATAGGCATTCTATAATATGACTGGAGGACTAAGAGCAGGTTAAGTATAAACTTTTCAATTTTATTCTAGAAATAAAACCTAGTATTTTGTTATATTTTTAAAATAGTCTGTTGATCTGTGTGCAGCTTTTAATCAATAATGTGTACTCGAAGTTCTTTTTGTTTAAAAGCTTGAGTCAAAGAAGTTTATGAAGTGGGAACACAGGGTAAGGTTCCAGGAGGTAATTTCAGACCTTTACATAAATTTACTTTGTACAGCACAGAATCGGGTCATTCGGTACAACTAGTCTATGCGAGCATTTATCTAGAAGTCTCTTCTAACCTTATTGCAGTTACCCGTTTATTTCTGACTATCAGACACTTAATTTTAAATGTCTCTCTGCTAGTTGCCTAACTCACTCCATATGCTAACAAATACCACCGTCTAACAACTGAATAATTCCTGAATTCTTTATTGGATTTAGCAATAACTTTCATTTATGTGACAGAGTACTGATCTTACACAAGGGCAACATCTCTACTTCCCTTCTGAAATCACTTCATAACTTCAAAGACCTTTAGGCCTAGGATAAGTTAATTCCAAACTGTTTGCTCTGCTGGTAGTTATAACTTCTTAGTTCTGTTGTGTTGTGTTTTGTTTTGTACCTTTTCCAATTCCTCTATTTAATTTTGTGATTATGGAGATCAGAACTTGGCTGTGGGACATTAAAAATCTGGTGTCCCCCAATCCAGGCCTCCCTTAACTATGTTGACACACTATAGTTGTTTGAAAATTGTCTTTGGAGAATACCAATAGCATAATGAATCTAAGGAAGAATTTGCAAAACGAGCTAGAAATACAGCCCTAGTTTGCGATTAGGAATAGTTCATCCTGCGAGCTTTATTAGAAAGCGGTGCGGCGCAGCCTACATACGCCTGCCCACAGAGGGCAGTGAGTGGGAGTCCAGTATGAGGTGTGGCTTCGGGATACTGAAAATCTTGCAGGGCGCTTCAGAGGAAATATCTTTGAATTTCGTTTCGGCGCGTTATGGCGTATTTTCAAGTAAATACACAGCAATTCACGACACTCTAAATCCCGTTAATAGGCACTCAATTATCCTTGTATGTTCCCTTTTTCTGGAGAAAAAATCTACAGTGGGACTAACTGGACAGCGTACAGCTGGTATGGGCATGATGGGCCGAATCTTATGCTTTAAGATTGTTTTCTCTCGACTCCTTTTTAGTTTTCTATCGCCTCACCTCTATCTCTACCCCCCCGCCCTTTCCCTGCTCTCGTTTCCTTCCCGTTTTGGTCTGCGTTGTCTTTCTTGTCCATTTTTCTCCCCAGTCAGTCGCTTTTTCCCAATGCTCTACACAGAGGGGTGTTGACTGTCACCCTCCCCTAGATAAGTCATGCAGACCTCTGCCCTTTTTCCCTGACCAGTCACAGACGGAAATCCTTTCAGGCTCACTCCCAAGCACCATCGCTGAGATATCGCCATCCTCCTGCCGCTCTGACCTTCACTGCAATAAATGCAACTCTCAGACCGGCCACCGCTAGCACCGCTCTCCCGGAACCTCGGCTTCCTGAGCTCCAGCCATGGGGCAGCACCGGACCATGTTGGCCCGGGCGGGCTTGCTGCTGCTTCTCACCAGCACAGGTAACCCCAGCACTTGGTCCGACACCGTTACATAGAGGATGGGCTGAGATAAGAAAAAGGGAAATCTGCTCTTTATCGGATTGTTTTGCACTGTGTTCGATGTATCAAATTCTATCCTGTTACATTGCATGATATTTCAGTTGATGCATTTTGCATTTATGGAGGGTGCAATGGCGCCGTACTAACCCTAAAAATCAGCGCTTGGAAATTGCTCCTGTCCTATACTGCGTAAGAGAAAGGCGAGGTCTAGCAGTAACAGGGCTTTCTATCTGACGCATGTGTGCAACGGGGCTTTCTGCCTTGAACCATGTCAAACGGGATAATTTCACTGCTCAGTGCAGACCACAAAATCCTGTGAGGTTGGTGATTCACCCCGACCAGACCTGTGCTGTACTGGACAGGATGATCTCTGAGAGCCTGGTGGTCTCGCCTACGTGCAGGAAAGTGGGATGGATTCCTGCCTCATCAGCCTTTGCCAGGATGTCACACATGTACGTGTAGGGTGCTCTCCAAAATGGGCTTTGGGGATGGAATCTGAAATTGGATCTGACTGCTCTACACCAACATTAGTAGTGCAAGTCTCGATTGATGGGTGGGAATCAGAAAATTTCCCAAATCAGATTCAGAGTCAGATAGGCCTGCCCACTCTCTCCTGTCCTGTTTGTTGTTGTACAGAGCCTTTCACTGAGTCCATCAGGAAGGATGCGGGCTTGAGAGGGGTGACTATTACAGGCAGCAGAGGCCTGTAGGTCAAAACCTCCCTGTGCATGGATGACATCACCGTTTTCTGCTGTCATTGTGCAGACTCGTGAGTATCAGCGACCCGTTTGAAATGGCCTAGGTAAATAGAAGCAAGAGCATGGCCATGTTCTTTGGGTTGACCGACCCTTTATCCCCTTCACCATCAGGACAGGTTACTTGAGGGTGCTGGGAACATGGTACAGAGGGGCTGGGGCATGAGCAAAGTCTTGGGAGGAGCAGATAGCCAAGCTGAGGCAGAAACTGGTCTTATGGGAGCACTGCTCCCTCTCCATTGCAGGTAAAAACCTGGTCATTGGGTATGAGACACTATTGTTGTACATGGTGCAAATCTGGCCCATTCCCTGAAACTGCATTGCAATCACCTGAGCCATTTTTCACTTCATCTGGAGGTCTAAGATGGACCGTGTCTGCAGAGACACAATGTACAAAACTCTGGATAAGGGGGGAAGAACATACCCAATGCTGCCCTCATCCTGATGTGTGTGGCTGCATCAAGCTGTGCGTGGACCCTTGGTACACAAACACCAAGTGTCACTGTGTTCTACCGGTCTCTGCTGTTGCAAAGGATGGGACTGGCCTCGCTGCCACGGAATGCTCCAAGTAGTTGGACCATTCCGTATCACCTGTCCTTCATTGAGAAATTTGCAAAGAAAAACACCTTTGACCACAAGTCCATCAGGAGGTGGTCAGTACATAGCGGCCTTGACACCCTGAGGGAAAAGCAGAGGGTGGATTCTGTTGTGTGATTCCCTGAGCAGACTGTCAAAGTCATTTGGCAGAACGCCTCATCACCAGAACTTTCGAGCAAACACTAACACCTCACCTGGCTGGTGGTGAGAACCTGTGAAGTCCTACTTGTACGCCTGGTCCGTCTATACCACCACACACTGCCCTTAAAACAGCTGGGGGTTGGGGTAGAGACTGTTGCAAATCTCCTGCTGGAATGTGCCTTTACAAAGGAAGGTGGGAGAGAGATGCTGTAGATTTTGTCAAGGTTTGTCCCGAGGAGCTCCATTACGCAGGAGTCTGTGCTGTATGGTCTGTT